TATCATTTGAAAGGTTTTCCGAGTAAAATGATAGCATTTATGTTATTTTTAATTTAGTTTAAAACCCCCATTATTAAATTGAATTAGAATGTTTAGGAATTTTTTTTTTCTTTTGTGAATTGAATAAACATACAATTTAATCCGGCTAACCTTCCTTAGAGAACGACCCGAGTCGGGTAACTCGGTTATTACTTGCCCAAAAATATTACAAACAAAAATGGCGCCGTTGCCGGGGAAGGTTTAGGATTTATTTCGTGCGTTTATTCATGTATTTTTTTTGTATTTCTCTTTGTTCTTGTAATTTATTGTTTTTGTGTTTCTCCTTGTTTTTCTTGTTTTATTTTTAGTATTTTTGAAGTATTTGTAGTTCACTCTTCTTCGTTAGCAGGTGCTCGTAACAAACTTTTGTTTTTGTATGCGTACTAGGAGTGGTCGTGTGCTTATTCCGAAGGACAAATATATTGACGAGGCTTTACGGGACTTGTTCGCCAATCTCTCTCTCGAACCCTCAAATTCCAACGACCAAACCGAGATGGCACGAAACGGCGAAGAAGAGGTGAACAACCCTCCGCGATAACTTCTCCGTGACCTAGCCCAACCAATGATTGCGCCGGTGACTTCATGCATCCGATTGGGACCCACGGCTCGAAATTACGAGCTCAAAACCATTCACTACAATCAACTACCATCATTACACGGGCTTCCCAACGAAGATCCACTTCATTTTATCCGTGAATTCTATAATGTTCTCCAAACTTTTCCACTCCATGGGCTCAACGAAGATCAATTGAAGATGAGGTGTTTTCCCGAAACACTTAAAGACCGGGCTAAGGCTTGGTTTATGACGCTTGCTCCCGACTCTCTCACTACTTGGGAGCAAGTATACTCAAAATTCATCGAGAGATACTATTCTCATCAAAAGACACAAGAGCTCCGATCACAAATCATCTCTTTTGCCCAACAATCAAACGAGCCACTACATGAGGCGTGGGAACGCTTCAAAGATCTTCAACGGCAATGCCCACACCACAATTTTCCACCCGCTTTGTTGATGAATAGCTTCTACGACTCTCTCCATCAAAACTTTCAATACATGGTGGACAATGCGGCAGGTGGCGACGTAGGATCAAAGACAGCTGAAGAAATGATGGAGATATTTGAGACGATGAGTACAAACTCGTCTCAAAAGAGTAGCAGAGGGAAGAAGGCAATGGTTCATGAGATAGCACCCGGACAAGACATGATAGCTCATCAAATCGCCGAGCTTACGGAACAAATGAGGTTACTTAATGCAAGAAGTGTCCAACCGGTACAAGCCATGACGATCGAATCATGCGGAGCATGTGGAGTACATGGACACCGTTCCGAAGTGTGCCCATCCGCTTTTGACCAAGATTTCAGAGAGTCACATATTAATGCAAATGCCCTCCAAGGCTACCAAAACCGACCTGTCAACGATCCATATTCCAACACATACAATCCCGGATGGCGAAATCATCCCAACTTCTCTTGGTCAAACAACAACAACACCCAACAACGCCGACAAAATTTCATGCAACAACCAAATCGGCCAAATTTCGCTCCTCAACAACACATGAGACCAAACTTCCCTCAACAACCACAAAGAGTTCCTATGGGAGGGATGCAAACTCAAGGGGCCGGTCCTAGCTCGGCTACTCAAGAAGAAAAATTGGATAAAATTCTCCAATTTATGACGAACCAAGAATCTACCATCAAGCGCATGGAGACGCAAATAGGCCAACTCGCCTCAAGAGTTGGCAATTTGGAGGTTGAATCCGACAAAGGGAAGCTCCCGAGTCAACCCGAGCAAGAAAAGGCCATCACCGTTTTAAGGAGTGGCAAAGTCGTCGATAACCAAGTCAAAATACCCGATTTCGACGATGACAAGGAACCAACCGTCGACCTTTGCACAACCGATCAACCCAATGCACAACCAACCCTCTGGCTGAAAGAACTACCTCGACATCTCAAGTATGTATTTCTCGATAAAGAAATGCAAAAACCGGTGATCATTTTCGCCGAACTTGCAAAGGATGAAGAAAGAAAGCTACTTGAGGTACTCCGAACAAATAAACAAGCAATCGGATGGGGTCTCGAAGATCTTAAAGGTATTAGCCCCTACACATGTATGCATCGGATTGTCTTGGAGGAAGGTGCTAAGCCATTTAGGGATAGCCAACGACGGCTTAATCCGAATGTGATGGAAGTTGTTAAGAAGGAGGTGCTAAAGCTTTACTCCGAAGGGCTTATTTTTCCGGTAGCCGATAGCGAATGGGTGAGCCCTATCCACGTGGTGCCAAAGAAAGGCGGTATCACCGTTATCGAGAATGAAAAGAAAGAGATGATTCCCACCCGTATTATTACTGGGTGGAGAATGTGCATTGACTATCGGCGACTCAACGTCGTGACCAAGAAAGACCACTTTCCGTTGCCATTCATTGATCAAATCCTTGATCGCCTTTCCAGTCACCAATACTATTGCTTTCTAGATGGCCTTTCCGGCTACTACCAAGTAGCAATTGCTCCCGAGGATCAGTCCAAGACTACATTCACTTGCCCATTCGGCACCTTTGCATTTAGACGTATGCCTTTCGGACTTTGCAATGCACCCAGGACCTTCCAAAGGTGCATGTTCTCTATCTTTTCCGACATGCTCGAGGACTTTCTTCAGGTATTTATGAATGATTTTTCTATCTTTGGTGATTCTTTTTCTCATTGTCTCCATAATTTATCTCAAGTTCTCAAGCGTTGCATTGATTCTAACTTGACCTTAAGTTGGGAAAAGAGTCATT